CAAGCCACAACGCAAGCCACAACGCAAGCCACAACGCAAGACACAACGCAAGACACAACGCAAGACACAACGCAAGACACAACGCAAGACACAACGCAGCGCAAGACACAACGCAAGACACAACACAACGCAAGACACAACACAACGCAAGACACGCAACAACACACAACACAAAACACACCACACCACAATTCACAACACACAAGAAAACGCACCACACAATACAACACACAACCCAGTACACCACCACCCCACAAAACACACTATACACCACACACCACAAAACACACCACGCAACACAATACACACCACACCACACAAACCACAATACAGAACACAACACACTACACTCCTCACAACACACAACACATAATACACCACACACCAGAACACACAAGACACTACATAACAGACCACACACCACACAAGACACTGCAACACACAACACACAAAACAACATACAAGACGCCACACAAACACCAGACAACAATACACACCACACACTGCACCACACACCGCATCACAACATAACATAACAAGGTGATTTTAAGCAGAATGATTTAATCATATCATTTCCTTTATCTAGTGTCCATGCTTCACTTCAGAGCTTAGTATTCTGGTTTATACAACCCCAAATACTTTTTTGATTAACACCACTCTTTTATCAATTATCATATACAGTTTTTCATCAAGATTTAATATTGACTATATCACTGCAGGCCTCTCCCACAGGTTTAGTTTGCTTCTCCAAAGGCTAGGAGATTGTCTTGCCAATTCAATGATCAATTTGAACGACTATAAATGCTGTCTTCACCCAGGGGTTTGCAGAACAACACCTAAAAGCTCCACATCCTATGAACCGTACAAGAAACTCTCTTTAAGTTAGCAAGAATAAAGACATTAACTATAATTAAACCTGGAAAATAGGGGTTTGACAAAAGCACAATGAGTGGCCATTCATACAGTTCCTTCAAGACTAACACACATGGTTGTGGCTGCATTTTTCCTAGCATTACATTTGTTTACAATCACACTAACTTTATACGGGTTTTAGGTTTGCTTTGGGGCTTTTTTTTTAAAAAAAAGGTCTTTCTCCACAGTCATATAAAGAAATTCTATTGTTTAAGGCAGTAAGGTAGCATGACCTTGCCTCAGTATTCTTAGTTCAGAAGTAAAATTAATAGAAAGATTGTCTGGGATGGTGCAGCTCCCTGAGGAAGCAGTGAGTGCCATGCAACATAGTGAATGTGGTACACAGGAAGAGCTAAGTGAGGGTCAAAGTGCTGCTTACCTTGGAACTATTACAGCCTGGAAAAAATGAACTTTCTAAATAATTTCTAAGCTTCTCCATCCACGTAGTCACCATACATTAGCAGACAGTAGTGAAATCCTAAATTTTGAACTCCTTGTAGTCTCTGCTTAAGTTGCTTTCATGATTCCTATTCTAAGGCAGACTGAGCAATCTGTTGCTGAACTTTGGCAAAAGCAGGCAGACATAAGACAGGCTCCCATTCTGCTCCTGAATGCATCTACAGAAAGGAGGAAAATAATTTTGGAAGTCTACTGATTTTACAATACGTATTAGATTTTCCCTCATATTCCAGCATTTGTTTTCCCCTACTAGTGAGGACAATACACAATGCCTCAGAACTTTAAACCCACCCCTAAAAATAAACAACAACCCCCCCAAAAGACCTGTCACCATTGCTACTGCTGAATATTTAACATTTTAGCCTAAGATGTACGTACCAGTACTAGTTTTGAATTACCACATTATTATTCCCTGACTGGGTCTTACCAGAGTCATGTTAAACAGCAGGAAGACAGCTTTTAATCCACATTTGGGAGTACTCCCACTACATGCTAAATGTCAGTTGAAGAAATAAAGGAAAAAAAGTCAGCATTGCTTTCTGACATTCACAATTTCTTGGCAGGGTGCTTGGACTGCATGAACTTTTCTGACGTCAGAAACTGAATCACAGCAAGGTCCCTTAAGGGTCAGTCCGTACTGCTGGGATGGATTTTCACAATGCTCAAAACCAGTTTATTGCTACTGTCTTTTAAATCTTTCTCCTCAATTAACCATGTCAAGAAAATATTTTGTTTGAGGCAGTAAGCCCAGAAGTCTTGCAAACAAGGCCCAGAAAATGCGGTTACTGAGGCTTTTGCATGGGTTTTGGTAGGGGTGTAAACGGATGACTTGAAAGGAGGTTTGAAAAAGGAAAGGGCCAAATTCATCTATGCATCTCCTCTGGATTACTAGAAGAACCCTGACTAGGGAATAAAAAACAAAACCAGTTTGATCTCCAGCAGCTCCCCAAGAAGTTACATTCTTTTGGGACACTGAACATCTCAATTTTAATTTACTCTGAACCAAACACCTAATCAAACCAGGTGACACTATAGCATGTTCAAGTTGCCTTTAGCAGGGTACATTTTATTTCAGCCTAAATCAGCTTCAAACCTCATGGAAGAACCTCAAGGGTAGTTTAGTAATACTTCAAAGAGTTTTAAAAGTCTCTCCAAAGTTCAGATAGGTAGTTTTTGTGTTTGAACCATTATAATAAGTAACAGAATACAGATTACATAGTGACTAGTTTGTTAATAGCAATTCAGGTAATAAAATATTCACTGCATCTTGCTCAAAGCAGCATTTATTTAAGATAGCATCAAGATAAGCCAATGTATAATGAAGTTTCCATCCTACAAATATGTAAACAAGTTGTCAGCAAGTTATTATTACAATATAAAAATTAAAGTTTACATTGCATTTTTAAAAGCTACTACCTTCAGCCCAAATGTATATTCTCTGGTTTGTTGCATTTAAAAATACAAGTTCTTGAAAAATATTAAAGTATGGCTTTGCACATACATTTTTGTAGAAAAAATACTTAAAAATACCAACTTCCCATTAATAAAAGCAACACCAAAAATAAAATACATTTTTGTCATGAACAGCACATTGAATGTGTCCAGCATTTTCTCCACCATTCTCTTTTACCAAGTTATCGTCTATTTAAAAATTCATTATAGTTTGCAAAATATCTGTTGCATATTATTTGGTTACTTTCCCATACCAAAGGAATTAGCAATATTGGCAATTACACTGTAAAGTCCAGCCTAAGGTTATTTGCAGCTGAGGCTGCCAATTTAATCCTCATCTTAGACCGTGTCTTTTAACAAGTACAGTAGGCTCTTGCTAAGAAAGCTGAGTAAGTTCAGATATATTTTGGAAAGGCTTGAAATCTTGATATGATTTCAACGGATACACATATTCTCATTTAAAGCGCTTTTAAACTCCAAGTCTTTGTTTAAGTACATTAGCAGTCCTGTTGGTGGCAGTCAGTCAAGTGTCAGGAAACATTTTGTTCAGAAGATTAGATAATTTGACATTAACTACATTTTACATTCTAAATCAAAAAAGAATGCTAAACATTGATTTTTAATATTTTTTTCAATAAGTTTCCTGGCAAGAGCTAGACAGATGATTTCTGCAGTTGCTAAGGCAGGAAAAGTTTGAAAATTCCCTGTAACCAAAGTTAAAAGATTGTAATGTTTCAAAACCAAACTAAACTAAATTCAACAAGGACAGAGAACTATGTATCATTGGGATGAAAGCTAACCATGCCACTGTGCCCTGACAAGCATCAGCTATCAATGAACAGTAAGAATAAAAAAATGAAGATAATCCAGTGAGCCAGTTTGAAGATGAATTCAAGGATCAAAATCAGGCTGGCAAGAAAATATTTTTATAGTTGGCTAATAGACAGAAGAAAACAGCTAGGAAAACATTGAAGGTTTGATCATGTAAGACAGTTATCTGAAAGAACAGAAATACATTTATATGCAAATAGTAATCAATATGAGTAATACTGCCAGCTTTCCTAATTCCATGCAAGTTCCAGAAAGAGGAGGATTTACTTAGCCTTTATCACTACTGAGTTAGCAAGTTAAGTCTGCCAGAAGTTACAGCCTCAGGTACATAGAGCAGCTTCCTGACAGGAGTGTGGTAGAACTGAAAATACTTCAGTGATCTCTAACCATAGAAATGTGTTAAAAACACAACCCCCAAAACAGGATCTACATGAACCTGTAATGGGAATTGTAATTCTGAAAAAACAGCTTACCCTACTCCTTTCATGCAGGATTATGATTTGTAGAAAGATGTTATTTTTTATTTTTGCCATGCTTGCTGGTAAAACAAGCATGATTAGTTACAGCAAAATGTGTCAGCAAGTGTTCAACTGTACAGTAAGAGTTGGAGATTCCATCCCAAGCTCAAGTTAGTCTACTATTTCAGAGAGAGGTGAGATGCAAATACAAGAGCTTCAGGTTCCTTCATGTCTTATATACCTTAAACACACAGACAAGCCTCAGGGAAACAGATGAGAAGCACAGACATTCCTGGGGCAGAAATCCCACACACCTGGGGAGGTTGCTTTTGTGATCACTCCTTGCCCACAGCTCTGTGAAAAGCTGCATAACAACGTACAGTTTTGGTAAGGGGATGGGATTTTGCACTGTACTAATTTGGGAGAGAGCAGCCTTCCTGTCTTCTGGTATCAAACTGTGTTTCTAAGTATTAAAAGCTTTAGCCTTTTAATCACACATGGCATGCTGGGACTTCTTACTAAAGCATTGAGGTTCCTCAGAGATGCTGAAAGTGCCGTTGCATTTGAGCACAGCTTTGCACAGGGCTTGCAGACACTTCCCACAGCCAGGGAGGAACAACACCAACACACACCAGCTGCATTTGTTCCCACAGAATTCAAATCCTGGCCAAAGTGTACAGAAGACTACTTGTCTATGTCACAGACAATCAAGTGCCTACCAGCAGTGAATTGCTATGGCTGTAACAGAAAAAGAACTGCAGCAGGCCCAAGCCTCAGGAACATAATTAAAATCTCTGCAGCTGACTTGAAGATGACTGTCAATACCTGGGAGAAGGTCTAAGTTAAAGTCCAAGGATAAGAGGAATCCATGCCATTTTCTCTTTGAGGGAAGTAACAAGGTCTGTCCCAAAGATACATAATAAAATACTATCTGCAAAAAGTGTGTGGTTTCTCCCTGAATCCACAGTAGAAATATAGTCACACAGAAAATTAAAATCAGCCTAATTCTCAGAACTGCAGAAAATAGTACCAAAGGTGACCTACAAAAGTCATTTTGACAAGCCACAGCACTGAAAGACATTTCAAAATTAATCTCTGTGCAGATATGCCATGGGACTCTAGGTTACAAAATCACTGACTAAATCAATAAGACTTTTAGAAGATGCTATTTATATGCGACTATTTTAGTAATAACTTTAGCAATAAAAGAAAGTACTACACAGATCATTTTAGAATCCACATATGGTATGAAACATACACTCACACATGTTCTAAAGTACATATATATATATATATATATATATATATATATTTGTTCTTAAAGCAATGTAGAGCAAAACTAAACCAGGGTCTGAATAACCTATCATACATGCCTTTATGGCAGCATGATTTTCATGCACAGCTCATGGCCTGATCAGATTCCTGAGGCGTATCACCAGAATTGCTACAAGTTTTACTTACCACAATTTCAACCAGAAACTGACTTAAATCATGTTACATCTCTTTAGGTGAAGACAGACACAAAAAACCCAAACAAACAAACAAACCCCACAAAGAAAAAAAAACCCAACCCCCCCAAAAACACAGACAGACAAAACCCACACAGCCCTATAATACATAGAAAGGCACCTGATAATATTGTTAGTAGCAAATATCTACAGCATTCTGAGTGTACTTAAGGAATCAAGATAAATTTTTAAAAGATCATGAAATACAAGAATTGCTGACTTTCAAAATGTAACTCTAACCTATCTAGGAAGTCACTAAAATGACATGTGCAGTTGTAAATCATTAAGAGTGTGCAAAACTGTAAAGTTTTGCATAAAGTGCTATATGTACTCCCAGTTTGCTAAGCTTGGCAATATGATGCAAGATGATGATGTTGAGGATATATCCTACCTACCTCATATCTCCTTTTTCTTTCCCACCATCATCCACTGTCCTTTAAACTGTACATTTAAAAGTTACACAAAAACCTTTTCAGTAATTGTAGTTCAGAAAAATATTTCAAGTATTTCTATATTTCAGTGTAAACTGGGGACACCTTGGTTCAATTTTCACAAGCTCTAGATACTTACCGCTTCAGCTAATTCAATTGGAATTGCAATGATTTCAATCTGTTCAATACCTCTGGCAAAAGAGTATTTCCTATTACTCATTTAACTCCTGTTTAAGGAGTGCTGAAATTCATGCTCTAACTTGTCCAGATTTATATCTAAACAATAAGCAATTATAGAAAAACAGTAACACTTTTTCTGATCACTTGGGCTTACAAAACCAAGTCCTATCTGTCTGTATGAATCTGTTCATACAGACTCATTCTAGGAACTGTACACAGATCTTTGACACTTGAATTCAAGTTATTATAGTACAGCAGTTTCTCTTGCAGGCATTGGGCAGTATACTTAAAAGTATACAATGGGTCTCTTCTTTATTCTGTATTTCAGTGATCCATATCGTATCTGAGGGGAAAAATAAAATTATAACAAAGAGTTGAGTCACACCAAGCAGAAATATGATTCACCTCCCCACTAATCCTATTTAGCAAATGTCTTTCAATGTGCTTTGGATGCCCCAGTTTCACTACGAGAATCTACCTATGACTGACTAAGATAAAATTTCAACAGAATTGGGCAAGAAGAGTAAGTATCAACTATTTTCCTGGAATGACCCAAAAACTTTTATGAGACTCCACAGAGATTTATCCCAAAGTATCTTTAAGTTTTGTGATGCATGCACGTGTAAAGTGCATTGAATGCTAACTGGGATTTTTCTTTGTACATCACAGAGAGTGTCTATGGGAACTAAAAAATTCTGAATATTCTTTATCTATTAAACTGCAGATGTTTAAGTGTGCACAACATGCAGTGATAATATTGCTATCCCATACCCCTTTCCAAGGTGAGCATTTTCTGAAATTGGGCTTGGAGATGCCAGAATTGGCATTACGAGCACAGAGTCTGTTTCATCTCCTCTCCCTTACTCCTTGCTTCGTTCATTTAATTAATGTACTTCCCCTAAACACCCCAAACTAAAAAAAGCCCCAAACTTAGATATTGTTATCACATACTTCCTTCGCCATTTAGCATCTAGAATCCAGTTATTGTTGACAACTGCTCCAAGATTAAAAATAAATTTCTGACTTTGAAAAATGCCAATATACACTGAGAAATCAAACTCAGGATTATACTTGCCTCTTTACGGCCTTTAATAGTTTTCACAGATTTCATACTCTGAGTTCTTCGAAGGCCTCTCTGAGCAAACATTTCATCCTCTGAATGTGTCCCCTCCATCTCTTCATCTGTTTTGTCATCTCCAGGATTTTTTTCCATTGGAGTTTTGTAACCTTTAAAAAAAAAATTTAAAAATCTAGCTGTAACTTTTTGACTTCTAAGAAAGCCATGATTTTCATGTTTAACACACATGCTTTATCCTTTTAAATGATGTGCTCATTTCAAAACAGAAACATCTACTCTGCCACAAGTTTGGTACTTCTAATCCTGCCACTTGGTGCCACAAGTATGTAATGGAGTGATTCTTCAGTTGCCAAAACTGAAACCACAACTCTGCTGACATCTCCTGCTTTACACTGAACTGCAAAAAGCTTAGTGGTTGTCTTAAAAAGTACTTAAGATTTTTTTGACACAACCCACATGAGAGGGAGGTTACACTTTATATAAACCTTTAAAAGGTCCCTTCCAATACAAATCATTCCATGACTCTCATACATAGGATCTTTCTTCATACTCTCAGCCTCCTGCATTTTTAATACCAAAGCTCCTTTCAGATTGGTAACACACCGAAGTACTGTTAAGGGTTGTTAACATCCTGCAAGAACAGGACCAAGTTTATTACCTAAGACTCTCACTAGAGGGCACAAACTGCTTAAAAACACACCTCGAAAAGCTCCTTGGGGTCCAACAGCCCTGAACCTCCCAAATCCAGTCTGGATCCTTCCTCTGCCAAACTCCTCTTTTATCCCAGAATCCACAGCCTGTAACACTCAAAAAGACCTTTTAGGCTCCAAACCAAACTTTATTAATGACCTGTGTACATTTCCTCTTAAGCCAGTATTTTATTAAGGCTTAGCTAATTTTTTTCCTCGATTTTTTTCCTAGAAATTAGAATCACATAATCTATTCCAAAGCTACTTGAGGAAGACATTCTGTCATTGTCTTCTGCCATTTTAGAGGCAACACATCTCTGCTTCCAGTACAGTTTCAATTTATCTTTTTCAATATAAAATATTTGAATCACATCTGTTTCTCTGTTTCGGACTGGCTGTGTTTGCAGTGACACTAATGCTTCCTTATCTCTGTTAGCAACACCTGATGCATCAGCATCTCATCCGCCTTTTTTCACAGCAAGCACACTGCCAGCTCAGCATCATCCTATGATGCTTTTTCAACCAATTTGCACAAAACTCCCAGCTCAGACCACAAAAAAATTCTGCTAAGCACAACCGAATATTGCTACACAATGTTCCTAAATCTAAGTATACTTTTTAAAGTATCTTTTTAAAGTTCCTAATGCTGAAGAAAATTCAAAGAGAACATGAGAGGTGTATACTAGATAAGAAATGAGGAGCAGAAACAATTAAGTTCACCTAGTTGTAAGAAAGCTTTTTGACATTTGAGATTCAATCTCACAAGCAGTAATTATTTATATAGTATAAACCGAAGCATTATTTTTAAAAAATAAATTTAGAGCATTTTTAAGCTATTTCAGATAGGTGAGTAATGCTCTCTTAGGGAGGAACAGACCCTGCACAACAGTTGCAGTGACATCATCTCTAGTGCAGCTCTTCATGAATTCTTGACTTTCTCTCCAGCCAGAAGCTCCAGTTCACACTGCACAGGAAACAATGTGCAATTCAGCTTATGTCCCTTCAGCTTGCCATCTATTCCATAGAAATATCATGGGCTACCACTTTGTCTGGAATTCATGGAATTCCTTGGACTCCACAAACCTAGCCCTCCCCAAAATGGAGGAAGAAGAAGGAAAGGCAGGCTTAGGTGAAAAGAAACAGCCCTACTTTCTTTGTGGAAAATATCAGCTCCTTTACTTCGTAGCCTTGCCATTTAAAAAGCTGTAGTTACCAGACTTCCAGCAAAACCTTCCTTCAAGCATCCCATGTTCAAGAGAAAAAGGATGATGACAATAACAGTACATGTAATATAATAATGAAATAATAGTATCTCTGAATAAAACCTGTTGTGGTGTGTTATTTTATTGTTGTTCTCCCTCCCGTATTAATGGTTTATTCTGATGCTGTTCCCCCCTTTAGCTGTGTTATCAGTTGTACAAGTTCCCGCCTTCTCCCTATCAATCTGCCCTTGCCCCATCCCCTTTTCCAGATTGTTCCCTATCAGTCTCCCAAATCCCCTCCCATGGCATTATCAACTCTCCCTAACCCTTCCCAAACTTCCAGAATCCTCTATGTCAGTTACCCTTCCCACAGGACACTATTCACGGATATATGTTGTTCCCTGCCTATGTTTTCCCTCATTGGTTGATTATGTATTCATCCCCACCTTGTGTATCTCCCCCAAGATACCCTGATTGGTCGACTGTTGTTCCCTCCCTCGGGACCTCCCCTGTATTTAAGTTGTTGCACACCAGTGTCTTTGCCTTTGGCTGCATCCGCTTCTTACTGCCTCCTTCCCCCGGACCATACAATAAACCTCTTCCCTGGATCAACCGAAGGACTCCCTCTTGTCCTTTGCCTCTCCCGGACATGGACACTACCAGAAGGGCCTCGCAGCCCTAGCTGCATCTCTGGGACATTTGTATCCGGAGAGCAGCCCACTCTGGGCGCTGGTACCTGCCGGCAGGAGCTAGCTGGGTGGGACGGAGGGCCAGGTTGTGGTGACACAGGTGGGCCACGTCCAAAACCATATATTGCTCACCACACACCATCTTCTAAGTGCTGATGGGCATCAGTCCATTATGACAACTTGATGCCTTTACTATTGCTATCACCCTATAAAATTTTATCTTTTGTTCTATTACTACAAACCTGGTGAATTTATTTCAATTAACTTTCTATTCTATTTACTGAGCTTCCATATGTTTTCATGTTTAACTTCTTGTACATTTGTCACAGAAACACCACTTAATCACAGAGTTTGACTTCCAATCAAGTTTTACTTTGGTAATAAATTCTTGCCAATTGGCAAGGACAGGAGTAATGAATACAGTATGATTACACTGAGAGTGGATGTGAGAAGAAAGTAATTCAGGAAGAATTTCTTAACTGTCATAATTTACTCTGCTTGAGTGTACACTCTAAGTGTATTGGAATTCTTTGAGGCCTTTCCCATTTAGAAATAGGATAAATGTATTTCTGCTTTTCCACTTTTGCTTTGGGTGAATTGTTCTTTTAGGCAGGGAACAAAAAGATACATACCTGAAGATTCACTTGCAGAAGCTCTGGTTTTCTTTTTAGCTTCTGGCAATGTCTGATAAGGTCTCTGTGCAACAGGCTCATCTCCTTGAATAGCAGTCAAATCATGCATACTGAAACTTCTCAGTTTCTCAGTTATTGCACCTTGGCTCTGAAATACAACAACAGTATGTTTGAAAACCAGGCAGAGGTTTAACTTGGCTGCTCAGCTTGGGTTAAGATGTTTAAGCCCACGCTTCCTTGCTGCACAACAAAACACATTGAACATATGCATGCAGTTGATTTAGGTATTGCTTTTAACTGTATGTTGCTCCCAGATGACAAACTTACACAAGCTAGCAGCTTAATTACAAATGCTGCATTTCACTCCTTTAATCTGAGCAAATAAAGACTTCTTGGGTGAGGGCAAGTGTTTAAAAGAAACACACATCAGAAATGTTCACTTCAAACAGGGCAGATAAAGGTAGCATGACAGCAACACTTCCACTTTAAAGAGTACAGTTGAAGATAGTTTTCTGTTATTTTATATTTTATCCTCCACAAATTTTAATAAGGTTAAGGAGAAAAGTGTTAACAATACACTCTGTAACATTAACTCAAATAACTGAGAAACTGGCAGCACTGTAAAAGCAGCTCCAGTAGACAGAAACTTAAGACCACAAACCAAAGAGGTCCTGTCTGGACTCCAGGCCAGCAGGTTCTCTTACTAATATAACTTTACTGACATAATACCAACCCAAAATGTAATGCTACACAGGAGAATAGTTAATCACATATGAACATTATGTATTACTTCTCCAATTGTCTTAATTTCTTTTCTATATGGAACATATGAAAATTTCCCTGTTGGAAAGCTCTTTCATTTCACATCAGATGATGTTATTATTAAAGCATTAAAGATTAATTTATTGCATAAGCAACTAAAAGAATAAGACCATGAGAACAAGTACTCAAAGTCATGTTAAAATAACACTTAATTCTTCCCTCTCTGGCATTAGGCAAAAAATAACCATTTCAGGGAAAGGTTGACAGGCCCGTGCATGAATTCCACTTCAAGCAAGTGTTAAAGACTTTGTTTCATTCTTACAAATGAAGCTTTTAAGTAAAATTCTTTATTTGATCAGTATGTTAGCAAGCAGGAGCAGATACTTGGGTACAATTCCATACACCTTTCTCTGCAACAGCACCAGCAGAAGGCAGTTCTGGTGCTGCTGGCCACAGCCATTTGCTCCCACTCTCATGACCACAACTGTTTGCAGTTGGTAGACCAGCACACTGAATTATTCCATGTTAAAAATAGCCATGGAAAGTGAAGAGACAGTGGAATTAAAGCTCCTTAAGTTTGCATGGATACCAAAGGACAGAGGGAAAAGTGGCTGAAACCTAATATTAATTTTCTAATACCTAGTTATTAGTACAGCATATAAAATTAAGACAGTGGACAGTGTGCTACTCAAACATGACAAACCTATTATAATTCTTACCCCACCATTCATATATTGTCACCAAACAATAACAAAGAAAAGGTTTCTTGTGAGAGAAGTAGAAACCTTAACTTTTCAATCTCTTCCTACATACTTGTAGGGTGACTCAGTTCTCAAATCTTAAGTACAGCTTGCCTTTTAGTCAAAATGCACTATGAACACTGTACAGTGTCTGTATTAAAGATTGTAGAAATCCTGAGGTCAAATTTATTCCCCAAAATGGCTTATTTAAAGCAGGTCTCCTAAGGTTCCTCCTAAGGCAGGAAAAATCCTGCCTTCCACTACCCTACTTCTTACACTGAAAAGCATTTCAAGTAAACTATATCAGGAACCAGCTATGCCTGAGAACTTTATCAGCTGCTAGCACATGGAGAAGAGAACTGGAGAAAGAACTGTTTCGCCTGACAAGTAACAGCCTACAGTATATATATAACATACAAGACTGTTCATCAGTCTGTGTCCGATGCTTAAAGAGGTAGAACAGGACTCAAGTCTCAGTCACTGAACACTGGTGAATATACAAAATGGACCTAGTTGCTCTCAGCAGAATCCATACAAATTCAGCACAATTCCACTCACCACGTGTGAACAGAGTCTACTTGAAATAGTGACAGAAGCTGGCTTTGGCCAGCAGCAGAAGTATAGAAAGACACACTATTTTAATGGTTGCCCAGCAAGTTCATTCATCATGTGACATACTACAAAAAGACATTTGGAAATTGCATAGAATAATGCAATTAAGATTATAACAACTAACATACTAAGAATTCACATTACAAGCCTGTATTTCTTATTCCATTGTAGATAGAGGACTAGATCCAAGCTGGGAACATTCAGTCCTTTTTTCCAGTGCAGCTTTTGGATACAGAATTTTGTTTTTCAAAGGGGAAAAAAAGTCAAGTATGTGCCATAAAATAACATTGTGCCCCTAACCAAATTGCACGGTTGAGCTGGAGCTCCTGCAGAGCACTGCCTCATTCAGGGAGGATGTAAAGTATTTATACAATGGGTCCTTCATTCCAGAACTACTTGCCAAGATGGAAAGTTTTACTTGAGTTACACACAGAAAACATTGAGAAGTTTGAAAGGATATATACAGAAATAAAGATGCAGGACACATGTCCGGGAGTCACAGTAGAAATGGGAGCTGCACAACCACTGCTGTGGTGGTCAGTCCTCATCACACATTATACTAATCCTATGCAGGTACACCCTACAGTGCCCCCAGTGTCTATCCCACCCTGGGAACATCCAGTCTAGCCAAATCAAGAATGATTTCTACTTTAACTCCACTGTATAGACTGAAGGACAAATTTCAAAGTGTTCTATGGGAGCATGCATATCACTGTGCTCACACTGCATTTAAGACTTCAGAAGATTCTTCCACTACCATGCCCAAAAGCAGCCATTAATTGCTTTCTGCTGAAACACACCATTATGTGAAGATATGGATTACTATCAGCTCAGGATGACAGTCTGGCTGAAAAATAGTAAATTCTTTCCTACTGTAGGAAATGTGAGAGCAACATCCACATTTAGAATAATAATGCTTTAAGAGCTCTGATATTTTGTTTGAAAGGTCAAAGAGTTACAGCTTGAAAGCAACATGTTTGCCCTAAAAACTTAAAGCAAAGCAATTCAATTCTAGGTGGAGCTGAAGAGGATCTCCTGCCTCCACTCCGATGCCCTGGGTGTCGCAGCAGCCATCACCTCTCCCCACATATACACACCCCAAGATGTTACTCAGAAGATGGCAGAGAAGTTACCACTGCTACTGCTACAGCTACCTCTGTAATGGTAGCCCATTACATCAACAGTTCCTGCCAGTAAGGAAGGAATGCATCAGGCTGCACTCAGCCCAGAGGCTGGTAGCTAAAATTACAGCACAACAGATTGAAGTACATACATTTACAATTACAATGCCAGGGGAAAAAAAATTAATCACACAACTTCACTAAAATTTCTATGTAGGCAGACATTGAAGAATGATGAACTGATGAACTGTGAAGTCTGTGTGCTCTCTTAAACAAAATGCAAGTCTTAAAGAATGATTTTTCTTCAATATTCAATGCATTTCCTAAAATATACTAAATGTTTTTTGGAGTCAATTACCAATGACCAATGTGAAACACCAATTAAAGTCAAAATATGTTTCTAAATCAATTTTTAAAAATAAATATAGCCTATTTAAGGGTCTCCTTTCAAGAGAAAGCTTCTAGTAAGCTACAGTATGCAGTCTCATCAGCTGACCCTCAAATATGAAATGCCATTTTCTATTCTGTTACTGAGCATGTAGTTTTATAGCCTGTCTGCTTAACCCAGGGAACTTGCTGTAAACAAACACCACATTGTCTGCCTCAGGGACTCTGTTGTTTAAACTGGATTTGCATCCCTCCAGTGGCCAGGATCACTGACTGAAGCTGCCTGCTTTCCTTGGATACATTCTCAATGGACTCTGTAGCATGCAGCACCCACATTCTCAGCTGTTCTCTCCCTGCTCTGATCCAAGCTGACAAGGAATGACTTTTGTTCCCTCTCAACCTGGAGAGGGACTGCTGTCCCGTGAATGACCTCTGCAGTATGCCAGACAGTCCCAGCAGGAAGGAGGATGAAAGCAGTATTGCTCCCCATAGAGATACTGGCTGTCTGCCACAGCTGGCTGCAAGATATCTCCTTCCTCTGCCATCCCCTGAGTGCGGATAAGGGGAAATGTGAGCAAGGCCAGGAGAATAATACTCAGCAAAAAGGCAGCAGATTCAGGATGACTAGAAGGCATCCAGAAAACACAGCCCTCAAAACATATTATAACCACCAACACAATTAACACAATTTGGTTGTGACCTCAAAGAGGGATAGAGTATTTCATGGCTTAATTAGCAATCCCCCTGCTCATAGTGACAAAGACAACAGTTTTCACTAGTAGCTCAAGAAATCTGAATTTATGGGTTGTCAGAAATTGAAACAGAGGTAACCATCATCTCGGAAGACTTGAAAAGAAAATGCATCAAAGTATGAGATGTATCATTGGAACTTAAGTGTTATGTATATAATTTCCTCAAATCCATAAACTACTGAGCTATTCAGGCACCTTGTTTGTGATTCTTTTACTAATAAAAATTTCCTTCAGTATATAAAAATTCAGCATAGACTATCTTTCATCTCTAAATCTCCTGAAATCAGGATTTTATAAGGATTTGTTTTCTGACATGCTAATTTAACAAAATTAATTTTGCTAATGTATGCTACTTAGCAGGTTTTGAAACTACTTTTTATATGAACAGTGGCTAACTAGTACCAGCTAAAAATTTCAGTATGAGAATGTAAGCTGTAAGCCACTATTCCTGTCAAATACATTTAAATTTAACTATAGGGGAGCAGGTTTAAATCTATGTCAAATTTCAGTAGACTGAACTGGCTGGCTGCTCTAACCTCCCTAACAGAGCCAACAAGCCTTTTAATAGTAATCCCCTATTCCTTTGACAATCTTTGAAGACAATCATTTTCTCCCACATTTGATATTCAAAATATTTTAGCAAGTTTCCAAGCCATTTTTAACACCCTTCTGAAGTCAGCATAAGCAGTTTTCTTGGACACTTTAGTGTCTTTTGACATAGGTTTAATCTTCCACATATGTTTAGTCTCTCCCCCTCTCCCAATTCGAGATCCACTATGTCAGAACAAGCATATGTGCTCTATTAAAAAAAAAAGGAAGGTAAAAAGAAAAGTAATGAAAGTGTGTCCTCTTTCCTATCAAGACTGATCCTACTACTACAATTCCATTCCTGGAATCCTATGGCATGCTCCACCAGCTCTTGGTGAAAGGATAATCTTTTCACCTGCTGGAGGCACCAGTCAACTCTTGAAAAACAGGGAACAAAATTAAGAACACATGCATTGTGTCCATTTGCTTGCACGGAGCAGGCACACTCAGCATTCTGGAATGACAAACCCAAGAGGCTTAACATGCCAAAATAAAGATTTTTTTTCAGTGAGTCTCCTCTTTCACACTGTTTAAAAATCATGCCTATTTTAGGTCTTTGGTATTGTGGTGGTTGTTTTTCCCAAGCATCTGATCTGCACTGAACTAATTCTGTACAAATATTCATGAGCGTTTTTAATGAGTTTTAACAAATAGAGCAGGCATCTTGCCAGTCACAGCTGAATAGAAATGAAAGCTAAACACAGACATTTCAGAAAATGTTATTCATTATTTCAGAAGAAAGTGAGAGGATATACTGGTGTTATTTCTTTTACAATATTTCTGTTACACCCTAAAAATGAAAAAGGAACTATCTAACCATAGCCAAACATGAGGAATACACACAAAGCATAAGTATCCTTACAGATGCTTATTGTAATAAATTTGTAATGCAAAGAATTTGCATTTTAGCATCTAGCAATTAAACTTTTTTACCCAGTAGAGCACTTGGGGTGTTTGTTAGGTTTGTTTAAAAAAACTATTTTCATTCTGGATATTTTCATTCTTTTGGAGGTGCACTCTATCACATTCTAAATTATTTTAATAACAACAACAACAAACCCCATAGTGATCAAATTTAATCACTTTCACAATATTTTAGGCTCATTATGACCATATTTAAGAACAAAAAGTTATAATGCTACCACCCACATGTATCTTTAAAAAGAGAGAAGATGAATATACAAGATATACATTACTACTTTTCCAAAGCTTTTTGAGGTAACATGTGAAAACGTAGTTTTTAGGAATGTCTTTTATTTATAACGCAGGAAGTTCATGTAGAAGCCCAGACATTTAAGCTAAATACCAGCTGTACCTACTCAACTTTGACAGCCAGGGATCTCTACACTGTTTTCTGTTATCTACTGACAGTGTTGAGGTTTTCAGTGCTGTTACTATGAGCACAATGGTTCCATTTATTCCCAGGAAGAAATTAATTCTGATTGCGTTAAACCTGTGATTTCACTTGGACATACACCTTTTTCTCTATATTTTTGAAGTGTTTTGATTTAAATTCCTGTTAGATAGGATACACATTGTCTGAAGTATATTCCTTTCAGTGGAGCACAAATTGCTTAGAATCTCACATATAAGCCTGTATTTTGTCTTCCTAAACCCAGTGTTTTCTGAAATACTGAAGGTGATGAGTTTTTGTAGGAAGGTAAACTGGGAAAAACAACAGATTACTTCATAATTTAATGGAAAATATGTGACAAAGCAAGTGTATGCTAAACACCAATAGGCAAGTTTATGCTTAGTATATTAATTTAGTAATTCGCTCAACAAGTTGCAAACAGGTTAATTGCATCAAGATAATTTTTATCCACGGTAGTAGTTTTTCATGCCTTAAGTAATATGTGGCATTACCGTAGGTTGATTGGAGAAAAACAGCAGAAAAGCCAGAAATCCTTTAAAAACTTTGTTTATCAACAAGAAAACACAACAGAGACAGAAAAGAAACAATGGTCATCTTTATTAAAAGCCTGGACAGAAAACTGAATGATACCTTTTGAGTTAGAGTAAACTGATCTGATCATCCAGGAAATAACTACAAGCCATCTTAAACAAACAAACCAACGAACATAGTATGAGGAGGATTGGGCTGCAAGCCTTTCATTGTGTCCCAGGTTTTCAATTCACTTGCAGAATTTATTTTTTATATAAGAGTGATAAATCCTCAGTATTATTACACTGTTCTTTATCAATCCTCAAAAGCAATTAATGCAAGCAGAAACTTACCTTTACAGCTGCTGTCACTGCAGCAGTTGCTGCCAGATTTAACCCTTGCCTTCCAAAATTCACCATGGTCTCATAGCCTCTTTCTTTGGCTTGGACAATGTACTCATCAATCTCCTAAAAGAAAAACATATTTAAGTTTTAGAAGGCTGTTCATAAGAGAGCAAAGTTACCGCACAGTATTATTTTTCCATCAGTAAAGGAAGACAGAAGAAATATTTAAGAAAGTATTTAATGGGATATATCTTTGCATACAAAAGTTTTGTTCATTGTTACTATCTCATTTAAAAAAAGGATTATATGTGGTCAAACAAGAAGATAAAATAGATCACTTTTGTACAGCTCAGAAACATTGCAACAAGTTCCTTATAGAGAGGAAACTTAACTTGTTGGACAGGAGTTTGTCAAGAAATAACATGCATTTCAAGAAATAACATCATCTAACATGAAGAACTCAGCGAGTTCCCCAGAAAGATAGAGCCAACATACAAAGAACTTCCGAAGCCATAGCTTTGAAATAGTTAAGTACCAAGGACAATACAGTCATGGCATTTATCTCCAGCTCTGGTAAATGCCTGGAGTTGAAGATAAAAGTCTGCAAGGTACTTCCCAACAGCTTGCAGACTACGGGAAGCATCCCTTTAGCTTTACAAAGTTGCAAATAGTTTATAGCACAACACTCAGAAGGTCAAGATGAGCCTACTACTTCCATTAGTGGAAATCTCATCAGCTACCTGCTTTACCAAATTAAGGTCAAGCTAAGCACTGACCTTTGGGAATGCTATTTTCTGTAGTGTGAAGTTTCTCAGTGGTTGTCTTCACACCTTTGCTAACTGCTCTTTCCACACATCCAAACAGGATGCTAAAACAGAGATAAGCAGGGCTGTGTCCCTGTCATACTTTGACTAAAGCTAACCATTTTCTAGCTATTCTTATGTTTGGGTATTTACTGTTGTAGACTGGTCCACCCTTAAAACTCAGTCACAAGTAGCTCCTCTTATCTTGTCAGTTTGCAAACCAATAAAGGTCATCAATGTAAATCATCCTGAGAAGTGTTATTACTAATTCATGCTCGAAAAAATGTTAACAGCTTTTAATATAGCTTCGTTCATACTTCTTCACAGAGAGTACTGTACATGTGCTTGCAGCAGAAAGTCAAGCTGCATCACTAACTCTCAACTGGGCTCCTCAGAAGTGCATCAAGTAGAGCAGGGAATATCAAGCTGTCATGTCAATAGGAAGCAGGACCTTGTCTGCTCAGGCAAGTAAAACAGAAGCATAGACATGGACAGTCATGTGTACCTGCCACTGCTAGTCCAAATTCACGCTGCCTGGCAAGACAGTAACAAGCTGCTCTGCTTTTATAATGTATCTAGCAACAGCTTTTATTTCAGTATATGGTGTTTCCATATTAGGTATTAAAAATCTGAGAAGTCATTTCTTACCCTTTCTTTAGAAGAAAGCAGTGGGTGGAGGAATTTTCTGTAGATTAAACTTGCCCCTCTAGTATATGGGGAAAGGAGCCAAATAACAAAAGCTATCTTCAGTTCATAGTACAGTGGAAACCTACAGAAAAATTAAAGGTTGCACAAAATTAACAACAGCAGTAAGAAAATGCACAGTATTTAATCATTATGAAGAGAGCTTTTCAAAAACCACAATTATATTAGCATATAGGATTCTTCATATACGAGAAGTTACATTAGACAAAAATTAAAAGAGCTTTGGATTTACAGACTACTGTCATTCAAGAAATGAAAACAGTTAATATACTTGCTTTTCATTATACATTCCTGCACAGAGAAATTCTAGGCCATCCTTTTAAGAGTTGCACTATCCTATTCAGTTTCTACAGTAAAGCTGGAAATGTTATAGTCCCTACTTCAAGTGACAGTGTACAGAAAACTTGAAAACAGATGCTGTTCATCTATGCACCAAGATATTTTCCTGTAAAAAGGGCTATTCAAGAGTTAATAAAAAGCAGGGTCTTACCAAGAGACTGCTAAGTCAGTTATCGTTTCAGTAACTGTATAAAGAGCAAACACAATCCAGTACATCATCCAGCGAACCTGAAAATTAAAATATCATCTTCACTAAGAGCTTTGGTTTCACCTCTACACATAATACACGATACACTGCACAGTTTGTTCAGAGTTGTCAAAGCAAGACATTCAACAGTATCTCAGTCTTCATAAACCAGGAGTCAGGTGAAATGATCAGGTGAAGATCCTGAAAAGATTTCTGTTCATAAGTAGAACTGGCAGCAGATGCAGCAAGCTCAGTGAAACGGCTATGTCACCAGGGTCACAACCTCATCCAGGCTGGTTTCACAGATTTGATTCTGTCCCTACAAAGCTTTAGTGGTATGAAAAAAAAAAAAAATGCAGAACTGGTAGATTACCCTGAGTATGAAGACCAATTCCCACCATAATACTAAAGGATATTTCATTCTCTTCCGCACTCAACCATACGTTCATACCATGCACATGAAAGTCAGCATTAGTGAAGCAGCCCTTGCTTTCATTTCACAGTATGTGATACTCAGCTTTACACTGCCATTAAGTTCCATGTCTGTGATTACTGGTATGGTATTAACACTGAGGCAAGGCAACATAAAAAGCATTTTCATGGAGATTTTAATTCTATTTATATGCCAAGAGCTACAAAATTCTTGTTAATAAAACAGCTCACATTAATGCTTCAGGGGTTTACAGGCATAAACATTTTTATTTAAGGCTTACTGCTTTGAAATCAATGTTCTTAAAATAGTATAACAATTGTAACAATTTTGTAAACAATTTTAACAATCGTTACAAATGTTTTGTAAGAATTAAGATAACCATCCCTTTTTCTCAAGCATTTGTTCAAATTTGGTGGTCTAAGATGATTACATCTTTCAGAATAAATACTATAGAAATAGTTCCCATGCATTTCTAAGCTATCAGATGTCAAATGCAATGTGTTTCCAAAATGGGCCATGCAAACTACCACTGGTTATTTGTACAAACTGAATATTCACATATTCTTTAAATTCCAAGAAAAAATACCTCTGCAACATAAAACCATTTGAAAACAAACAAACAGACCCCCCAAAAAACTAAAGCAGCAAAGAACCCGAAAAACTAAACCACCACAACTGTTAGAGACTAGTCTGAGCCCTAACTTCATGGTACTCTCATTCAAAGGGAGGATATAAATATATTCCTTCCTTTGAAGGTGCATATATATACATACATACATATATATATATACACCTTCCCACAGAGGATGTGGCTCAGATTTAATCTTCACTTTTAAAATAATCTTTTTTGAGGTGGACTTAAATAACTATTCAAAACCTAATGATACACTGCTGCCTATTTAATGGATGTCCATTACAGTTTAAAACCACTTCCTCTGTCAGAACCTGCGACCCATTTATCTCAACCATTTTTCTGTGTTTCAGTTTGAAAAGAAATTCAGTCATGTGATAACATTCTTCACTTCCATCTCTCAGAAGATTTAGATATTTTAGGCTTGAATAAATGAAGACAAATGTACACAACAGCTGAAGTCATTGCTGACAGGTCATGTGATATTTAGATATTTATTTTAGATATTAGTTCTCTTCCATTAACCAGAGTCAACACCTGAATGAAAGCAGCATTAAATCACACTTTGCCCCATCAACTTAAGCATAATACAATACAATTTTTAAGATGCCATGCAAGACTGTATTTTTCCCAAATATAATTTATCCAGGCTGTTCTTTCTTTAATCAACATCTATTTATCCAATTGAAACCAACAGGTGGCAGTGGAATTTCTCCTGGGCTGCAAGGAACAGTAAAAAATGCTCTGCAGAAGGGCACATGAAATCTGCCAGGAGTCCAGCTGAGGGCCAGGCAAAGATTCTATAAAACACAAATCATGTTCTAGTACAACTAATGCAGTAGGCACCACAAATGTCCTTGACAAATGAAGCTAAGTGACTTTAGGGGGTTTTCATACCAGGAAAAAAAGAAATAAGGATATGAAAAATTGAAGGTCAGACTTCACTCTACCCAGAACACTATCATCTACTTTAAGTAACAGAAGCTTTGACTGAGTTTTACTTTTCATGTTAAAAGAGCGATCAGAGATTTGTTTTGTTGAGGGTATTTTTTCCTAGCATTGAAGTGTTAAGCTCATCTTTGTTGGCCCTGGCTGAATTTTGAAGGTCAGGATTTTGAAGCCAGGATTTGAAAGGCTATTATTCAGACTTACAAACTACATTTCAGATGCTTATTTCAAGCACTTTAGTGTAATACAGTGAAAAAATTGTGTCAAATATCATAGTCAACTCCATTAAACCAGGGTAATTACAAGAACAAATAAATCTCTTCAAAGGCACAGATTCTAATTTTTAGCATTGAATTCCGTAAGTCTTTTAAATTACCATAATCAGCACAACACTTTTTTCCCCCAGAAATAATCTTTGACCAATTTGCTGCATCATGACATACACAACAAGTCAAGATGTATATTATTTTGTTTGGTTGTTTTTTAGTGGCAGAAGCAGTGGCTGAGTAAAATATTTTACTGTTACAAAGCTCTTATCAATTCTTCAACAAACACAGATGGCTCCTGAGCCACACAAAATCCTGGAATGGAAGTTGGGCTTGGGCCATAATGTGAGTGGCAGCAGACCTGTGCCATTTGGAAAGCTGCATTTAAATCTAAACCCTTTATTGTGAAAGAAAATTACCCAGCTGGGAAAATGGCAGCCATGGATCATCCCTAAGACCCATCTGGCAGTCAACCCAACTAGCATAATTCCAGTGATAATTCACTGATTAATCATTGTCATGCCCTGCTACAATGAAAAAGTCACTGTGATGGGTCTTATTCATCCTGGCCCCATGAATATTTTGTATGTGGCTGCAAGTTCTGGGCCTGTTCAAAGACCACAGGTTCACACTAAAAGAGTTGAAAATATATAATTCCAGGCCCTACTAGCACAAGGATCCTGTGTAAGGACGCCCAAGAAAGACAGCTAGGTCATAGCTAACTGGACAACTGAGGTGAGAAAAATACCTCACCATTCTAAAATATTATTTATCTTTTTCTAGAAAACATAGTGCAAGAGGCAATGGTAACCTCTTAAATTGAAGTGATTTCCTTTATTTTAGTTGGAAACTGCTCTGCCCTACTTAACCTGAGGATCTGTTTTGAAGGAGCAGGGAGGAAAAGCAGATTATAATGCAAGGAATTTATAGACTTTCCTGACAGAGTAATATGAGCATGAGAAAGAAAATTCTCCTCTTTGTTTTGATGATTTTTTTCTCCCATGAGTTTAGCTCTGGCAGGCACCAGCTCTATTTCACAAATCAGCTCTAATCAGCTTGTACACAGAAATCAGAAGAAATACAAATATTATGTCCTTTGAGGTCTTGACAGGCCTCATTAAGACATTCAAGGGGAGGAACAACAGCTACCACATTCTACAACTACAACCAAGTAAAAAGTGGAGACATCACACATCTTAGGTCACAGCTTAGGTCACAGCTTAGGCTGCCGAGTTAAGAGTAACTGATGGCCCTGACCCTACCCTGAGTCACGCAGCCAAGTTAAGGACAAGATTCAGGACAGGTTAGTTGCTGAAATCAAGTCAGGCTGTCTCTTAAAAAAGGGAAGTAGCTCAATGACTAAAGCTCCTTGTGCCTGCAACTGGTTAACATTCTTGTGATTATCACCACTGCTCACACTGATAAATAAATAATTAAATAGCTTAATTAAAAACTGAAGTAACTATAATTGTGGTTTTCTCCATCTTTTTCTTCTTCTGTTCTGACATCTTTCTTCTATCTGGTCTGTTTCTTTTCTCCACACCACCTTAACCAAATCTTTTCCTCCCGTGGTTATATTTTTTCTCATCTTTGAGGAACAATAGATTAACAAGAACTACGCTTTTCTTAGGTAGATTTTGAGTCCCCTATTGAGTTCCATGCAATCATATTAAGCTGCTACTGCTCTTCTAGTGGTCACTGTGAATTGGTTTGTCAATACTTATACTTGAGGTGTTGGCAGAATTAGTAAACTTTCACTCTATCCCCTGCCTAAAAGTGCATTATTTCTTGTACTTTGCTGAAATGGAACAAAGACTTTAAGGTTTACATTAAAAATACTAGAAAAAAAAATATATATACAGACAGCATAGTGTGTTGAACATGTTTCAGTGTAAAACTATGTGAAGTATGAGATACCTTAACTTTAGCCCTACAAACAAAATCATAGGATTACCACTAGGTTCACACAAGCTTTATATCTAACAGTAAGACAGTCAATTCAAGCTTTCACATGATTTATTACACAATGAAAATGTCACAGATCTATGTCAGCAGAGGCATATAATTAAACAATTAAAAGCAATGAGACTTACATATTCCTTCACATTTTTTGTCTTCACAGCTTTGTATGAATAATATGCAGGATACAGCATTCCAAACACCAGCCTATTGGAAAAGAGAAAGAGCCTTCAGGATATGTTACACCATATATGACAAAACAGTGACAATACATTATCAGAACAATGCAGCCAACTTAACATTAAAAAATCCTGTTCTCTAGCATTAAAGGAAAAAAAGAAAAAAATCAGTGTTAAATGTTCCTTGGAGGAAGTTTCATGATAGGCAAAACTAGAACAACATGAACAGAAAAGGTTGTATGCCCTAAAGACAACAACCTGTTTTGTAAGGCTGCTTCTAATACATAATATAAAACCAGTTGTTCTAGTTCATTTACAAGCAAAACCAGTCCTGCAGCCTGCCCACACTAGAAGATAGCAGTGGCAGTGCTATCATACTTGAAGAGACTCTGAACCTATCAGTAGCTAATCACAATCATCTGCTTTTATCAGATTACCGGAAGTTTATCCCCAAAAGAATTTTAAGAGAACACTGACTTACAAATTTTCATCTCCTTTTGCTAGAATGCTGCAAAACCAGCATTTAGAAACGGAAGAAAAGTGGGAATTAGTCCACTTTTGCTCAGACAGCCAATTGCTGCTGAAATTCATCAAAATCAAGGTGCAGAGCAATGTGAGAGGGTGCCAAGCAATCCATGCTGAGAGCAGGGTCAGAACAAAGATCTGCTCTAACTCAACTTTGTTACAACACAACACTTTCTAGTAAAAGTCTTGGCCATAGACTAGAACAGTCCTTTACAAAAAATGGAACAGCAGTAGTTACCATCTCCTTGATAAATGCAAGAGCTCCATATTTCACTGTGGAAAATAAGAAAAGCCTTACAGAATAACGACCTTTTAAAGCTTTGTTAAATCCTGTTCACTTCTGCTCAGCAAAAAGCACTCTGGGAAGGGTTCAGCTGCTGGTCGGATGGCCGGAGACTGGGCTGATAGTGGCCTCGTGCGTGAGTTAGTGATTGGTTGGGGAGATGTGTGGACACCACTTGATCAGAGAGCTGATTGGGTAAAGCGATGCGTGAACAGTGATTGCTGTGGCAGGCAGCCAATGTATGCTACTTTCGGTTAAAGTTTTGGTCAAGTTTCGGCTCTGTTTGTTACAATAAATGAACTTCTTCTTAACAAGCAAGGAGGTCTGTGTGTCTTTGTTCCCCATTGCTACATTTTACCACCTTGCTACTCTTTGTAAAGTTAAGAAAATCACCTACCCTTAAATTCCATCTGGCCTGAAACAGCCGTTAAAGTCTGGCTATGCCTCTACCGCATCACTTCCAACTTGCTCTAAGTGGTTACATGGGAGAAATTTACACTTGTAGGGATACCCAGACATCCTCAAAGTTCAGAACTTATATGTAATTTAACACCTCATAGCTAGTCAAAGGAAAATGCACCACATATTTCAGTGGCTTTTGTTTTTGTTTTTTAACAAGTCCACCTAGGACAGACTTGGCATATAAGATTTTCATTTAAATGAATTTACTAAAGTAAATAACAGAAACTTCATATTTTATTGTTGCCCCAGGCAGCTTTAAGTAAGTAGCTCTACCTCCACAGTCACTGCAGAAGCCTGCATTATACTACCACAGAGCTTTGTGAGTATTCAAGAAAACAATATAAGTTTGGATTCAACCAGTTTGATATACAAAATTTTCCAGGCATCACTCTGGTATCTATGCAGAAGTAATCTGCTTGGTAGCAGATGATGAAATTGCTTGCAATTTAGAGTACTAAAGTCATCTCTGTGGTAACTGTAAATGAGACTGATAGTACTGTAGATTTAATTAACATATGCAGTTTGATAACCAAGATGCCTTAGCAAGAGCAAACAGAGATTTGAAGATTCCAAGAAGATTGGATCAAGTCTGGCTGACAGGAAAGAATATTTAACTAAGTAAAACTGTAAAGTTTGTCTGTGTGATGTTTAACTAAATGATTGTAGTAAAAATTACTAGCCTTCCTGAAAATGGTATACAAGCATATGTACCTCACAGTAAAATTTGGATTCTGATCATGAATCAGTAGTCCCAGTCTCTCTCTCTCAATCATTAATACATCTCCAACAGTTAACATACAGTACATAAGTGGGGGTAAAATGGACTTGTTAACAACAAAGATGAAATACTTTCTTCAGCTGCAGATACCACACAGAGAATGTTTCTCCACCCTTAGTGCACATAGTTACCCCCTGGAAGGAAGCCTCTTGTGGGGTATACTGGCAGAGGTTCTAAAGTTAAGCTGTTAATGCTTCAAGTGATAGAGGTTGATAAAATTATGGAAGCATAATTGCAGAACCCTTCATATTTGGAAGGGTCTTGTAAAGTTATCTAGTCCAACCTTCTGCTCAAATCAAAGTCAACATCAGATTTGGACCAGGTTTCCTAATGTTTCAGCTAATCAGGTCCTGGAAGTTTCCAGAGAGATTCCACATCCTCTCTGGGCAACCTATTCCAATGCTTAATGAACCTCTTAGTGCAAAAGTTTAGTTGTATCCAGCCAGGAGCAAAAGTTTGTAACCATTGTCTCTTGACTAAATAGTAGAGTAAAAGAATGGGCCTGGCTCTCATAACCATCAAAAAGTTACACGAAATGGCTACCAGTTCTCCTCAAAGTCTTCCCTTTTATGTCTGAACAAGCCCAGTTCATTCAGGTACTCATCACAAGTCATGTGCTGTCAAGTCAAGTCACCTTGATGGCCTCTACTGAACTTTCTCAAATAAATTAACATCTTTCTTGTACTAAGAAGCCCAAAGTTAGGCACAGTCAAATAAATAAATCTCACATCTACACGCCATCCTCTGCATAATTTTCTCTTAATTTAAAAACCACAAAACTCACAGAAAATCCTCAAACACTGATACCTGTATTTTCTTAAATAGCAAAGGTGGCTCTAAGATAAATAATGGGTTTTAATACAGAACAATTTAAAAATTACTACTTGATTATAAGTACGAGTCAAAGCTAGTTAATCATGTACAGTTCTTTCACAAAACAAGGCTAGATTTGAGCAAAGCTTCTGGGCCTCGTGCATGCATTAGGCCTTTCCTCATCCAATGGAGCTGCTAAGAGCTGATAGTATAGAGAAGCCAAAGGGCACTTCAAGCACATCTCCACAAGATCAGATCCCTCTGGAGGGGGAAGGGACAGTTACTGCAGATCACTCAAACCCATACTGATAAGGAAAAGTAGTAATGGGTGCACTATAGTGGCACTTTCACACCTGGATCTAGGTGTTCAGGATTCCACAGTTCATGCTACACTGGAGGTAACAGAAGATGGATCCTGCAGCTCTTTAATACAGGATAGGCAAGCTGCTACTCCACTGGAGCAAAGCTTACCTACATCCTACATTTAAGATATTGAAAGGCCTTTTGACAGAGTCTAGACTACCTGAGTTCCAGCTCAGCATATCAATCTGTAGAAGACTATCCAAATACAGCTCTGCTGCAATCCTCAGACCTTTTAGCCCAAGGCCAAGAAAAGCAACAGTAAAAAAAAAACCAAAAACACCCAAACAACAACCAAAAAAAAAAAAAAAAAAAAAAAAAAAAAAAAAAAAAAAAAAAAAAAAAAAAAAAACAAAAAAAAAAAAAACCAAAAAAAAAACCAAACAAAAAAAAACAAACAAAAAAACCCCAAAACCAAACCCTGAATGGTTCTATTCCCAGCTGTGAGAAAAGCCTGATAACACAAGTTAAAAATCTCACTTCACACTAATAATGTGACATCCAGAAACAGAAGGAATAGGACACCAAACACCTTTCACTTAGTTGAAATTCTGTAGATAACTGCTCTTCCTTTGATTTTTGCCCCAGTGGAAAACCCTGTTCAGTAACACACCAGCTCTAATGTCTCTCACCTTCCCTTGTTCTGGCTGAAATTACAACCATTAAGTATCAGAAATAAGAAAAGCCTTTGTTAATCCTTTAACCCATAAAACAGACTTTGTAAGGGTGGAAATTATTCGTTCAAAGAGAAGATACAGAAGAAGTTCCTGAACACCATAACCACCAACAACTGCCTGACATGCATAATAACTCCACCAGATACTGGTGATCTATCTCTCCGTAATTCTAAAAATAGCACTCCAAAGTTACTTAAATAACTATTAGTAGACTGCTCATTTAAGTGTCTTGTAATGAAGCATATGAAAGAGAACCAGCTTGAGTCTTTCACTTTACAGATTTTTCAGCTACATTTTTCCACTCACTTTAATGTCAAGTAACATCACTTCTGTATAGAAGACAAAACAACGCATTTTTAAATTTAAACAGCAATTTATCTTCTGAGCATATCATTCCCAAACTGCTATAAACATGAACTGGGAGAAACAGAATTTTGAGAACAGTTCTTCAGAAACAACTCATCTTAAGCAGAAAACTTATTATAACAACAGTGAGACAATCATAAAACTAAAGATGACCTCAGGTTAAATAAGAACACTAGCATAAGACAAACACAATAAAGGTAGCTAGTTTTTCCCATCTAGAAAAATCTGTTACTCAATACTAGTCAAAGCAGGAGTTTAAAAAATACCTATTTTAGTAACCACTTGTTCTTTTAAAGAATCACTTTAAAACTAGAGAGTGCAGAGTGGTTAACAGAACCAGATATCATTATTATTCCATAATATTAGAACATTATCATTATTATAATATTCCATAGTCTTATTTTATTAGATATACACCAATATATAATAATTTAGTAGTGTTTTCAATACTGCTGTAAAATTGAAGTGTTAGAAAAACTTCTGCTTGTTCACTAGAAATGGATAGATAGGATTAAAACAAAACATCAGCACATTTAGTCAGTAATAATAGGAACCAGTACTGTGAAGTTTTTATCTCCTCACAGCCAGAGCTGTGTAGCATGTGTAGCATGATGCTGCTGCCAACTCTGGCATCACTAACTTCTTCACACAAGCAAAGTCCTCTAACTTTAGTTAAACCTACCAGGCAATTTTACAGTCCAAAAGCCAACTTGCCAGCTGTGAGTGTAGCTAAAGGTCAGCAAATTCACTTTTACCTTCCATCT